AATTAACGCAGGTTTATTTTGTTTGTTTTTTAAATTACTCATGTATTTAATAGGCTATTCACACAAATGCGTGAAGTAAATGGCCATTAAATTTATGTTTACTATGCAATTGACGTCTGTTAAGGTCTGTATTTACTTTAAAGTATCTAATTAACAATTTGCAGTGAATTTGAAAAAAAAAAGGGCCACAAAGATTCGCTTATCACTAATCAGTATAACTAAATAAGTAAGTAGGTAGGCATTTCTTTATAAAAACTCAAATGACTGGTAGCGATCAGCACCCATTTAACTTTGCTAAAAAAATACATTTTCCTGTTATAATAATGGTCATCAAAAATATTAGCAAAAGTATACTGAGACCTGCCCCGTCTTGCAACTCGAACTTCAAAATTAAATCCAAAGGCGCGCGTGACAAGGCCCCATAAAGCTATGCTATGACAGCTCAATGTATGTATGGCCCATGTGTATTGTGCCTTTAGCATTTAAGGGTTAAGCTTTGTAAGCGAATATGTCGACTTTTTATCGATAGTCGTTTGAATGCTACTTTAAATGTCGCGGTGCATTTCGTCGATTTGTAGTAATTTTCGTAACTTTACGAGTAGGTACTAAATGCATCAATGATCATGATATTTATAAAACCTTTTTAAAAAATATGAATTGCTATATTTCTAGTTGAGAACTCTAGGTTGATATAATCACGTATTCTTCTTCTTTTCGTGTCGACAACAAACCTACACAGTGTCAGCCCAAACTCCGCCACAAGAGTGGCGTTGTCAGCAGCACTCATCAAATCCTCCTGAGTGTAGTTGCTTGATGGGCACTCAGGGTACGACATCAAGTTATTAGTGTAGTCAGATAAATAACATTCATTAATTAAACCTATTACTATTACATTAGCGTCACGTCATCCTATTATACGCGAAAAGCGTATTATTAGGCATCACACACCATAATTATTAAAATCTATCGATAGATAGAGGGCCGGAATCTTCGTCCCAACCTTAATGTGACTTTGAAAAAACCTTACGTTTTGTTACCGTGTTTCTGAGTAATAATAATTCCATATTAACATGGCTGGTTGTCTTTAATTGTGTTGTCTATGATTTGTGTGTTTTCGCCGCTCGTACCGTAATTGGTGGATGATTTGTTGTAATAGAAACGAGCTTTTTTATTGTGTTATGGATTAAAGGGCCGTATTACTAAACAGGTCAGAACTCATTTCATATTCAAGTGGGTATACTTACACGGTTATTTGTAAGGCTGGTTTTAGTGTCACGCGGACTGTCAGTGCGGATCGCTCCGCACAGCCGATCTCTATGAATTGCTAGGGAGCGAGCGGTTCCTCCGGACCGCATTACTCTAAAACGCTCCCTAGAAGTTCATACAGATTGGCCGTGCGGAGCGGGTCCGCACCGGACGGTCCGCGTGACACTAAAACCAGCCTAAAACAGTTGCCTACAGAAGAAAGGCTCTTCTCATCTTAAACAACTGACACTATTAGACTGAGTTGCATCATCTAACATACATAAATTTACATGATATCCGGTACATTTTGTATGAAGTTTGACAGATTTTTGACGTTTGTTAAAGTTAAAATAAGATGGTACAACCCAGCCTTGACATTTATGCAAAAGTAATGCTCATATATCTACTGTGGTAATTCTATCTGTTACTTTTGCCTTTTTACGTTTAAACCACTGAACCGATTTAGATGAAATTTGGTATGGAGGGAGATAGTTTCTAACTCGGAAAAAAAACAAAATATTTTATAGGATAGGATTTATTTTAATCCCGGTTTTGGCGGGACGTAAACTTGAATCTATTTTTGAGAGTTAAATCATAATTAAGTTTCGTTTAATAATACGGGCCTTAGTTTCTTACGTTGATACGGTTTTTGTGTTCCATGTTATGTTATGTTTAAAAAAAGGATGACACGTATTTTGAGAATTAATTATCTCTGTCAAAATATTGATAATTAATAAGATAATTATAACTTCGATGCGTGATAAATTATTATTGTGCCATTAATAAGAACTATTTTAATGATGTGCACTTTTTTCACTACATAATCTTTATTAATTATTTGAATTCCTGGTTTAAACTCGTCGTTAAAAATACGTTCTCTACGCTATGGTACGTTGTCTAGGGCCCATAGTACAAGCTTTGCTTAGTTTGGGACTAGAGGCGCAGCGTAAAATGTCTAAGAATATTTATTTATTTTATATTACGTTATATTACTTACTGTCTGTAATATTTTAGTAACAGTAACTAATTAATGAATTTATTTTTATTTACTGTTGCAAGTATCATAGAAAAATACCTAGACCCATAGATAGCCAACTCATATCAAATACTCATCNCCTCCGGATCGCATTACTCTAAAACGCTCCCTAGAAGTTCATACAGATTGGCCGTGCGGAGCGGGTCCGTACCGGACGGTCCGCCTGATACTAAAACCAGCCTTAAACAGTTGCCTACAGAAGAAAGGCTCTTCTTATCTTAAACAACTGACACTAGTAGGCTGAGATGCATCATCTAACTTTAACCGTTACTTTAATGATAACCGGTGTATTTTGTATGGAGTTTGAGAGATTTTTGACGTTTGTTAAAGTTAAAATAAGATGGTGCAACCTAGCCTTAGACATTTATGCAAAAGTAATTCTAATCTGTTACTTTTGCCTTTTTACGTTTAAACCACTGAACTGATTTAGATGAATTTGGTATGGAGATAGTTTCTAACTCAGAAAAAAACATAAAATATTTTATAAGATAGGATTTATTTTTTATCTCGGTTTTGGCCGGACGTAAACTTGAATCTATTTTGGGAGTTAAATCATAATCAAGTTTTGTTTAATAATACGGGCCTTAGTTTCTTACATGATACGGTTTTTGTGTTCCATGTTATGTTATGTTATGTTTAAAAAAAGGATGACACATATTTTGAGAATTAATTATCTCTGTTAAAATATTGATAATTAATAAGATAATCATAACTTCGATGCGTGATAAATTATTATTGTGCCATTAATAAGAACTATTTCAATGATGTGCACTTTTTTCACTACAAAATCTATAATAATTATTTAAAATCCTGGTTTAAACTCGTCATAAAAAATACGTTCTCTACGTTATGGTACATTGTCTAGGACCCATAGTACAAGCTTTGCTTAGTTTGGGACTAGAGGCGCAGCGTAAAATGTCTAAGAATATTTATTTATTTTATATTACGTTATATTACTTACTGTCTGTAATATTATAGTAACAGTAACTAATTAATGAATTTATTTTTATTTACTGTTGCAAGTATCATAGAAAAATACCTAGACCAATAGATAGCCAACTCATATCAAATACTCATGTTCAATACAAAACATTTGCCCTCCGTGGGATTCGAACCCGAAACGCGAACCGCCAGATCAAACATCGTGGATGACAAGCCCAATATTTATTCCCAGTGATTTTAGAGTCAATGAACCTATTCAAAGATCAATACGTTTTGTAGTTATTGAAATATTCAAACTAATAAAAATTTCACACATAATTTGACTTTAATATCAGACCATATAATTTTAACGTAAGATTAATATTACCTTTGTGTTCATCGCGTTTATAAGATGTGTATTAAATTATTGGCTTTATTGCCTTTATTTTATATTGCGTATCAAAGTGACAGAATTTTATTGCTTTTAACAAATTAATACCATTTGATTTTAGTTTGGTTGTCATTTGTTTTATTGGCTGAATTTATTTAACATTCATCACTATTGTATTATGTCAATGAAGAACAGGTGTTTCATAATTATTTAAATTTAAATTGCAATAAACATTCATATAACAACTTTTAAATTTTGTTTTATTACTTTGTAAATGCTTAATAATATTATCTACTTTAAACATCTCGATTAATAAAGTTTTTTAACTTGAAGGTTAACAAGACAATTGCACTTTTGTAAGTTAATTTACAGGAAAGCTCAATGCAAGTCTGTAATTTACTTTTAATTGCACTTCATGTTATGGAGATAAAATAATCGTGAACTTAATGTAAGGTATGGTAGTCATATTGCTACTGGATAAATGCGCTGCTTGCACTAAACGAGAGAATGTTTGTATCGTATGAGAACCAATTTAGTAGTGAATTCAGTATGTTTTTCTTTACTTGAAAATTAATGACATAGATAAAGCCGGAACCACACGGTAGAATAGAATAGACACTAATCACCACTATTCCCGTGAATGTGGTAAGAGCTAGATGACTAATGGATAATGGGACATCAGACCTCCTTAACTCGTCTGGCCAGTAGGAGTGTAGGCCAAAGCCTCCATTCGCCTCTGATAAATAGAAGGATTCGTCATCCTGTAGTAGAGACTAAATGACCTGTTGCTGTTGATGATGATGATATAAAAATAGATCATGGCCCGAGAGTCACTTTGACATCGCAATGACTCTAGCAATATTGTCACCAACTCAAATTCAAATTCAAATTCAAAACGTTTATTTGCCAAAAACACAGTAATACAGTAATTTTAATAACATTAAAATAGATATTCGTGTGGTTCCAGCCGAATTAAATAGGATCTCTACCTCTTCCCGTAAGAGCTGATATCGTAAGAGCTCAGCTTATTGATCAATAAGCCTATCACCAAACCTGTTAAAAACGATGGAGTGGACTGTATTATAAAGAGGCCTGCCGGTGGTGATTATAGGTATGCTACTAGAAGCAAGGAAACTCCAAAAAAGGGCCAAAACAGTAGGTATATTGCAGCTCAAAACATTAACACGAGAGTGTACAAAAAGCAACTTCAAAAACAATCCAAAAAACAATATTAAAAAAAAGTAAAAAACCATAAACAATTATCAAAAAGGATTGCTGGCCAAACTGCCAGCAACAAAACCATCGGCCAGCGTGGGGAGTTTAGGCCAAATCCCCATTTGCCTCTGGTAAATTAGAGATGATCGTCCTTCAGTGGATATTAATGATTATGAAGTAGGCAAAACTCACCTGGCTTATCCAAATCGCTGAGAAAGTCCTCCGTATCCGTATAGGCCGTGGACCGACCCAAGGCCGCCAGGACAGCCAGCCAGGCCCACGCGGCGCACCGGCCCGGCCCGCGGGCCCACGCTCTCATGGCCCGAGAGAGTCACTTTGACATCGCACTGACACTAGCACTCACTCACGGTCACACTAACACTTTTGTGGGGGTTACCTGGAAAGATAGAGAAAGTAGTTGAGCAAATTGAGTAGGTATGTTAAAAGAGTGGAAGAATGTGGTAGATCTTTATTTAAGTTTGGGACTTAAGTGACATTGCAGAAAAGAAAGGAAATAATTTAGAACAATGCACAAAATGTGATGGGATGTTTCCTGGGTTAAAAAGCAAGTGTTTGAATTAGTCCGTCATTTTTCACTTTTCCAAACTAATGAAAATTGAAAGAGATAAAGCGCGCCAAAGTTCAAAAGAAGAGGCCCGTGACGTTAATGCGTGCTATAAAGTGCCACAATTTGTGACGTCATGCGGAACTCCAACGCATTATAATTTCGTAACTAGGCACGTGTTTGAATATTTTTTGATAATATAAATTGACGGAATAAAAGCCTTTTTTTAGGAAACTAGCCTAATGGACTGGTATTAGTTACTAATAAAAAGAGCTTATATCAAAATTATAGGAACGAGTCTGGATTATGAGAGCTGGTGCCTATTGGAGCCTAAAAGCACTATATTAATGTAACCTGTATTAATCGAGTAATGTAGGGCAAAAACTGACTATACCAACGAAGAATAGGTACTGCTTGGCTTCATTTTTAATAGAAAATATTCTAGAAATGTACCTACGTATCTACCTTTCTATCATATTCCTATCGAACTCGTATTTCCCAGTAAATCAGCAAATACAAACACCATCGACAATCGAAGTCCAAGTTTACATTTCAACAAATAAATCAGGTTCTGTGTACAGAACTTTTTCTTGTCGCATTGTAAATATTTGCCTCGAAGTAGATTATGTTTGCCCGACCATAGCAAATATGGGGGAATGTACGGAATGACTAAGTTTTACGGACTAGACTGTTTGTCCGCTTCGAATGTTAAGGAATAACTTGTTATAATTTATTTCAGTGTTTGACGGCTACAGTTTGATTAAGTTTATTTATTAGAATGATAAATTGTTCAGAAAGATGTTATAAGAGATGAAAGTCCCTCATATTATCATTACAACTACAATGGTATCTCAATGGTAATTCATCATCATCATCTCAGCCATCGTCCACTGCTGAACATAGGCCTCCCCCAATGCTTTGCATGTTACCCGGTTGGTAGCGGCCTGCGTCCAGCGCTTTCCTGCTACCTTTATGATGTCGTTGGTCCACCTTGTGGGTAAATGGTAATTATATTCAGCATATTATTATTACGAGTATCTTTCAAAGTACTGAGTATCTTTCAGTTTTGAGTTAAACTCCACTTGCATAATAAGCACGTGAAAAACTAAACCCAACTCGTATTTTTTTAGTTTCAGCTCCATTACGCTTTATGAAAATTCACTTCGCATTTTCGCAGTCGTGAAAAGCTGATATTTTATTTAAATTGTAATCACGTAGGACATTCTAAAATCTACCGACTAAAACAGGTGGCCTGCGCGAGACGGGAAAAAGGTCGGCTGTCGGCCGAAATAACATTCTACAGCATACAAATCGGTCGGCAAGTTGCCACTGAGATGCAAAAGTGACACAAACCAAAACTTTGAAAATATAGGGGAAGATGTTATACCTATGGACGGTTTTACCTGTGGACACCTCCGATATCTTAAAAAATGTATACAGGAATTGAATAAATTGAACGCATCCGTAAAGTATTTTTGATGTATGGCAACACGACTAGTAGCCATTTTGTGTTTGTTATTGTGTAGCTGGTAACGGACTGTTAAAGATTTTCTACAAAAAAAGTAAGTATTTATATCATTTTCGTTCTATATTTTTGTCAATATATGCAGAGTATAATTATATCATTATCTTAGGTCAGAATGCAAAGTTAGGGACAATATTAATACAACCGGAATTATATTTGAAAATAATTACATATTCTGAAACCAGTGAAATTACGATTTTAAGACCTCATTTTGTAACTGTGTGTTTTTAATTTCACTGTTGTTAATTATAAAAATGTATCAGAGTGTAATTTATAATTTTTATGAGAACTACGATATTAAATCGAGCTATTATCACCAGCTGACAGGTTTTTCAGAATTTCTACTTACAGCATTTTACTATCTTAGGATTCAGGACGAATGTACTCGTATATTACTTTGTGTTTGACAGAGCTAAGTGTTTTATTTGAGAAATTAAATCCAAAGTAAATTTGACGTTTTACATTTAGTTTTCAAATTCGTAACGACAATCTTTGACAAGGGTTAGTTTATTATTTGATAAAATCCAATGCAAATTTTAGAAAACAAGCCAAGTTCTTTTTTCAATCAACCTATAAATCAAACAAAACTCAATATCAGAACCAAACAAAGCTAAATACATTGCTCGGCAGCAGCTTATCTTTAAAACCATTGAATTATTTTCCCTTTTTATAAAGCGAAATCTGTGCCTGCATTTACAACACAAAATTGACGAGCTGTTTTAATATTTCATGGACACCAACTCCCAACATAGTTGACAATGTGTTGCTATATGTTGCACAAATAAAGATAGCGCTGGAAAACAGAATATGTAATAGCTAATAAATCCAGGTGCAAAAACTTCATTCTTATTCAAGGGCCGAACCGCGAATTTTCCTCGTTGCTGTTCAGCATAAGATAAAGAGCACAGTGTGGGAAACATAGCGATTGTAAACAATCAATTATAACAAAAATAATCAAGAAAACTTTTCCTTTTTAATACAGCTTTGGGCGTCTTCTTATAAGGTAAAGCTGATTTCGGGTCATGGAGTGCCTTAAAGAGAACAATCATTCAAGTTGGTGGAAAACAATGGGTGGAGCCTAATATTGTTAATAATCCAGCGATAGGTACAAGTAAATTGCGTCAAAATATTTTAAAGTTATCATTGGCATACAAACATCATTATATTGCAAAGTTTATAAAAAACATAATACCCAACAAATTAAATCTACTATTTCTAAATAACATGAACATGAATATTCTTATCCAATAAGAATAACGTATTTGCAAGTTCTTAAAAATCAAAATTTTACGAAATATTCAATAAAAACTGAATTTATTTTCTCTACTAAAACATTTTTCTGAAAAATACAACCCGTTTTAGCTCAAACTAATTTAAAAGCATCCCAGCCGAAACTTTAAGGGTCCATCGTAAACAAGGAGGAAATAATCGTATTTTCTCTCAGCTTACGACGGGGTTTAGTCAAACAAATCTTTCGGCTCCGCCCGCTCATCTAGTGTACTCGAACCCTTATAATGGATGTTCCTGTATCCATATTCATTGGATGGCCATTTTAATGAGTTATTGCGCGATATTTTCTGTTAAATATTAAAAAGCTACTACTGCGATTATGTATGAAATTTATTAAGGTGGCAGAGATCAGGGAAATCATTTACCAACAAAGTTACTGCAATCAATATATTGTACAAAATCAACTAACTGTATGGGTACCTCACAAATGTATGTTTTATTTAAGCTACAAGGTAGTTGTCATTAAGTATTTGACTATTAATTCTTTCTTGCTAGCTTACATAATTTGGAATCTACCTAGGTTCAATATTACATTGGGGAATCCCAAAGCATTTTTTACTAAATGTACGTACACAGAGGAAAACTGTTTTAAGACCCAAATAATTGACGTGCTTGTGTCCAGAACTGACATCCTTTTATTTCGAGCAAAATTGACACATTTCGAGATGTGCCCATATTGCATGATATGCACCATTTTTTGAGACTACCTTAATAGACAGCGCCACTGACAGTTAATAAACAGAAATTACGTGAATCTTCAATAATAGAGGGCCGTATTTTTGACTTCACTAGTCTATGGAATTTACCCGGCATGTGACCCGGGGTTGACAGACCAGGTAGGTATTTGGGTAGGTATATGCAGTGTTGATAGGGTTGCGGACTTGTGACATTCCGAACCCTTGCAAAGTAGGTTATGTAGAGTTCAGTCAGATCTTAGTTAGTTACTTATTTCATTTCTGGGTAGTTCCTTCATAATATTTGATTTCTCGTTCTAATAACAAGATTTTGGACAGAAGTAGTTGGTAATATCTTGGGTATGTTTTGCTTATTAAGTTGATAATATTACTTTTATGTTTAGACTTATTTTGACAGACTATAATGGTATCAACTATCAAAATGTAGCCGCCATTAAAATAATCTCGGATAGCTTGTTTCCTCCGCGAATTTCAGCGATTTTGTGATTTACTCCCGGATTAGATTTATTTCTGAAATATAGTTTGGTAAAACGATGAGTTCCCTAACTCTAAAGTAATTAGTGTTTATTCCCGAATAGGGTTTTAACTTCGTAAAAAAGCAAATTGAATCAGCACTAATTGGGATCACTAGAACAACTGAAGTGAAAATTAGACCAACGATCAGCTGAAGGGATAGAGCTTTATTTATGTAATCAGGCTACTATGTCCTAGCAAAGGGAGTTTTAAAGATTTGTTTTCTGTCGTGGAAATTCTTGGGGGAGGCCTTTGACCAGCAGCGGACGTCATTTGACTAAAACGAACGATATTCTTTTTAGATACCTACTTAAGTAGAAGAAATGGATGAAAATTTATGGAACTTATAATGAGAAGAGCTATACAGGTTTCATAGTAAAATTCTATCTATGAATTGAATATCTTCGAATATGGACATTTATTTACGATGTTAAGATTAGATTTTTTCTATCCACAACGAGAAATTCCTTGGCCTGCATCTATTTATATTCAAAGATACCGTAAACGGACCTTGTGGATCCACTAGTCAGTAAAACTGCCAAAACCAAGACTGGTGTCCTTACAGAGTGGACAACACGTGGCCCAAATTTCCATAACAGAGGTCCGGGGCGGAATAATGTATGACGCGATCCTCGGATCGACTCCGCAGCCATTTTCGCCCTTGGTTTATGGCAGTGCGTATTTTTGCGAGATTTTCACTTACGGCACGCATCTGCTTGGCGGAACAAAGGGTTGTGGTTATGAATATGAGACTGGCGGTGTTTATGGTGTGATGTATGGTGATACGGTAAATAACGCAGTTTGTCTGC